AAATCCCTCCTCCGCGCGTCCCCAGCCTCTCCCACGCACCGGAGATGTCAGAGCCTCCGTTCCCTGTGACCTCCGAACGCTGGCCGGTGCCCGGCCCCGAGAACTCGGACAACTTCCGCCTGGATCCCCTGGACCAGGGCCCGGGGCAGACCGGCCGCCGTGGCTGACGTCGTCCTGGGTGAAACCAGAGGGCTTTTACTGACGTTTCAGAAGTTTGGGCAAGCCGCCTGGCATACGGTTGACATCAGTGACAATTTAGTCTCTCCCTTGGAGTTCAAGCAAAATGAACATCCTTAAGGACATGCTCCTGCCGTTATTTACGCGAAGATGTGAAAATCAAAACTGGTCAACCACACCACGGAGGAGAGAGGGGTATGGTTAGGGCTGCTCAAGGCCCGATGCATGAAATCCATGCAAGAGTAGGCCTTCCTGCCCTCCAGCCGCCAGCAGGCACCAGGGACCCAGCTCCCCTCGCAGCCCTGGCTTCACCCGGAAGGTCATCTGGAAGGACGTCCGGTCCGATTAGCATATTACTTTTTTTTATTATTATAGATTTCACTCTGTGGGAACCAGTGGGATCGCCACCTGCTCAAACTCAAAAGCTCGTCAGAGTAACGGCTCCACAGACACAGGCAAAACCCAAGCCTGCGTGTGGGGGGCCCCGGTTCCCTCCTCTTATCGTGTCTGAAAGCACTCATCTTATTCTGGCAGCTGCAGCTGGACTTACAGGCCTTCGACGATAACTGTGAGTCATCGGCCTTGCGCGTCTCGGCCGGGAGAAGCAAAACAAGCCCCGGGTCCGGAGGAAAGCCACCTGTCCGCCAGGCACCGCCAGCTGCGCTCGCACCCGCCCTTCGGTCTGTCTCATCCGTTTCCCACCAGTTCACCTGCCCACTATCGAGACTTCAGTTTTCTGTCAAGATTGGAAAAGAAGGTGGGGGCCAAGACCGGTTTGGCTCAATGGATAGAGCGTAGGCTTGGGGGACTGAAGGGACCCGGGTTCGATTCCGGTCAAGAGCATGTACCTTGGTTGCGGGCATATCCCCAGTAGGGGGTGTGCAAGAAGCAGCTGATCGATGACTCTCTCATTGATGTTTCTAGCTTTCTATCTCTCTCCCTTCCTCTCTGTACAAAAATCAATAAAATACATTAAAAAAAAAAAAAAAAGAAGGTGGGAGACCCCCAAAATAAAGACTTAGAACGTAAGTAAATCTGATTGAATTCAGTTGATCTGAATAATAAACGTGAGCGAATAACGCCGTAGCCTGGCAGAGCGCCTGGCAATGTGCAGAGGGCTGCCACAGCACCACATCCTCAGTGTGAACCTCCTACTGACAGGCCCTCCCAGGGGGAGAGCTACTTTAACATGTAGGTTAGTGGTTTCCAAACCTGAGCTTACCTCAGCATCCTCTGGAGGCCTGTTAAAACACACATCCCTGCCCATCGGGGTGGCCCAGTGGTTGAGCATGTACCTATGAACCGGGAGGTCAGTGTTCAATTCCCAGTCAGGGCACATGCCCGGGTTGCAGGCTCCATCCCCAGAAACATCATTGATGTTTCTACCTCTCTCTCCCTCTCTCTTTCACTCTGAAATCAGTAAAATAAAATAAAACACATTTCTAAGCCTCACTCTGAGTCTAGCGTAGGGCCTGGGAATTTGAATTTCCAACAGATTTCCCCACAACGTTGAAGCTGCCGTCGGGGGACCCCACTTTGAGAACCACTTGGAAATAAGAAATCACAGAAGCTCTACAAGGTTCACACTCACGCCTCCCGGCCGTGTGATAATTCTTTCACAGCTGGGATTTCTCCACTGGCATTTAGTCAGTGCAGTTCTCCCACGGGGCCCTACTCATCCAGATTACCCTCCCCCCGCTTTCAAATCCTGCTCCCCGGCTCAGCCAGAGCACACTGCACCCAAGGATCTCCCAGTCCCGGGGCCCGGCAGCTCAGCTGTGCGGGAGCCCGGACCCACTCTCCCGGCTCAGCGGGGCCCTGCCTCTGCCCGGACGGTCTCCGCTGTTTACTCTGAGGCTGCGTGCTCCACGCTCTGTGGTGGGCGGCCCCCAAGCTCAGGCCCTGACCTTCCCGTTCTCCCTCCAAGACTCATCCGTTTGCAGGGTCAGTGAGCACCACCACGCACAACCAGCTCGGCATTTCCGGGAACTCTGATCCTCCGTCTCCGGCTGCACCCAACCATGTGTGTGGGCCCTTTCCCGCAGTCACTGGTTTTCTCTCAAAACCAGGTTTCCTCTCTGAAGCTGTCCGTCCCCCCCATCGCATGCCATCAAGTCCTCCCTGGAGCAGAGATTGTTGCTGCGGTCTCCTCATTAGTGCCATGGGTATAAGAAACATGTGCGCTGAATTGACTGGGCTGATGAGAAGTGCAACCTAATTGCATAGTTCTCCTATTTTAGTCTCCATGTGGGCAGCACAAGGGAAGCCAAGATCTGAGTATTTCTTGGGTTTTGAACATGTAAGAGAAACACTGATTTTTTTTCTCCTGCCCCTCCCCCGCCATGAAGCCCATAGAAAAGTCAGTAAATATTGAACAAATAAATGAGTAGGTGGATGGATGTGACACTATTGTAGTTAGCTAGTTCTTAATAACTAGAGGCCGGATGCATGAAATTCATGCAAGAGTAGGCTTTCCTTCCCCCCAGCTGCCAGTACCAGCTTCCCTCACAGCCCCGGCTTCATCCGGAAGGTTATCTGGAAGGACGTCCGTCTAATTAGCATATTACACTTTTATTATTATAGATAGGAAAGGAGCAAAGGGGAGGCCAGACATACATAGGCATGTCATTTGCTTGGGTTTATATCTCTTCCCTCATCCCGCCCCCTCATGCCCCAAACAAACTATTCCAGTAGGCAGTTTGGTCTAGCTAGCATCTCCCTGACAACAAGCTCTGCATTTTTCTTCTTTCCTTCTTTAACTTGCTAGGGGAAAAACCCCTCCACAATGCCTTCCCTGATTGCCCTATCGCTCTCTCTCTCTGATGTCTTGTAGCCTTTTGTCTCAGCACTATTTACATTCCCAAAACACCATGTTCTGAATAGCCTATATAATAAAGACGGAATATGCAAATGTAATGTCCCTCCATGACAAAGATTTGGCTGGTCCATAGCCAAGAAGGAGGGAATATGCAAATTGACGTGACAAAGATGGCGGCGGCCATTCCGGGCCTCTGAGCAGCGCACAGGTGAGGAGCAACCGGGATGGAGTGGGACGCCTGCTATGAGGGGGGGCGGTAGGGCCAAAGCAAAGGTGGAAGGAAGCAGCCAGAGCGAAGGCCCGGGTCCCAGGTGCCAGAGGGAAGCTGGTGCTGTCAATCAGGGGAAGGAAGGCCTATTCTTCCATGAATCTCCTTGCATGGGGCCTCTAGTATGTACATAATGTATTTGCATATATATTAGCTTTATTGAGTTATAAGGGACATATTTAAAGCATACAAATTAATAATTGTGACATATCAACATATGCCATCAGCCAAGATAGTGATATACCCATCATCCTAAACCCTCCCAATTCTCCCCTGCCTCTTGGGAATCCCTCCTCCTGCCCTGGCCCCCAGGCAACCACTTTATAACGTTGGCATTTTCTGAAGTTTTATATCAATGGAATCTTTTTATTTCACGATTGGACCAGTTAGCACCTCCAGGACAGTGTGGAGTAGACGTAAGGAGAGTGGAGATACTGCCGTGTTCCTTACTGTAGGAGGAAAGCATGTAGTCAGACTCAAGCACAGTCTTGGGTGTGATATTAACTATAGGCTTTTTCAGATGCCTCTCATTAGGTTGAGGAATTTCCCCTTTATTCCTAAGTGTCTGAAAGTTTTTATAATGAGTGAGTGTTGGGTATTATCCAATGCTTTTTTTTTTCTGCATCTACTGAAATAATCATGTCTTTTTTTTTTTTTTTTTTTTAAATCTGTTAATATGGTTAACAGATATATATTGCTTGGGGTTTTTTAGACTTGATTATATATAGATTCTATTTGCTAAGTTCTTAAGAATTTCTGCATCTAAATTGATGAGGAACGTTGGTTACAGCTTTCTTATTTTAATAACGTGACTGTTTTTCTAGCTCAAGCCTCTTGATTAAGCTGTAATATAAAAGCTATTAAATCACATAACTATCTTGGGAAACATAATGTCAGGGACATATCTGAAAAATGAAAGCAATAAAGTACATTTAGTATGGCTCTTGAGCAAGAAAAATATGTGAAAGTTGGACAAGAAAGTTTACTTTTTTTTTTTTTTTTTTTTTTTTTTTTGTGCCAAGTTAAGTTTTCTAAATGTTGCATTGTCATTATTCTTCGCGGTAGATTAAATATTCTACCGAAGGAGGGAAAGGAAAGAAAAATCCCTTGTTAAAAAAACAAAAAAGAAAGAAGGAAAAGGAAACAAGATAAAATTCTTTCTTATCAGTGGGAATTCAAGGGGAAGGGAATGATGGGGAAAACAGAGGGCTGAAGACAGGCCCATTTCATGAGAGGCCCCCCCGCCCCCAGCCCCTTTTTGGGGCTGAGCCTTCTGAGAAGAAACTCCTTGTGGAGGGGGAGGGGGAGTTCCTAAAGAGGCTGGGGCAGGAGGGGAAGGGGGAAGTACCGGGAGAGGATGGAGCCTGTCTAACAAGCTGTTTAGGTGGCTGAAACCGGTTTGGCTCAGTGGATAGAGCATCGGCCTGCGGACTGAAAGGTCCCAGGTTCGATTCTGATCAAGGGTATGTACCTTGGTTGCAGGCACATCCACACTCTTCCTGAGGGCCTACTATGTGCTCGGCTCTGGCCTAGGCACTATGATGGCAGAGGGCGAGGGGGGGGGGGCGGGGAATTCAACACAAAATATATGAATCACAAAACCTGGTTTGTATTGTTAGAGAGGCAATGACTTGTCTGGCTGAGGGGCCACGGATGAATGAAATGGGCCCTGATAAAGGAAGGGGGAGCGGGAGAGAAGAGAAGGGCAGTATGGATGCACCGACCAAGCAATCTTACTTCTGCACGTTGTCTGATCCGCGTTGAGGATGTATCCTTGTTTACACCTGCAGACGTACGAGCCAGGGGTGTTGATGCAGAAGTGGGCACAGTTATGCTCCAGGAGGCTGCACATGTGGGCCACTGGGAAGAAACACATAGCAAGTTAAGGCAATGACGATGCCTTCTCTAACTTCACGTACCCTGCCAGCATCTACACCACATGTGTCAAACACAAGGCCCGCGAGCCAAATCCGTCCCGCCAGGCCTTGCAATGTGGCCCGCACCGTGCTGTCATCACTGCACTCCGCTGCGTTTCCATCACAATGACAGTTTATGACTGTTCAGTAAACCATTCGGCCCGCGATTTAGGCTGGATTTTAGATTTTGGCCCCTTCTCTGATTGAGTTCGACACCCCTAATCTACACTAATAAAAGAGTAAGATGCAAATTGACCATACCTTCACGGTGCCCACTAGCCAATCAGGAGTGAGTATGCAAATTAACCCAACAAGGATGGCAGGTCAATTTGCATTTACACTGGCATGGAGCAGCTGGGAGCAGGGTGGGACACAGAGGTTCCCCATTGCCCAGTCGCTCCAGGCCTCCGGGCAGCTTGGGAAGGTGGAAAGGTGGCTCCGGCTGGAGTGAAGGTGGTGCCGGCAGCCAGGGGAAGGAAGGCCCATTCTTGCACGAATCTTCTTGCATCAGGCCTCTAGTTTATTCATAACCTACTCTGGGATGGAGAGAGCAGGGCCCGAAGAGAAACGAGCTTCGGTCCCCAGCCTCACGGGGGTTTACAGCCTCTGGTCAGAGGAGACAGTTCTAGATAGATGCTATCCGCCGTACCTAGATAAAGGAGCATGGAGGGCTGAAGGGGAATGACATCAGGCTAAGCCAAATACAATTGCCAATATCCAATAGAACCAGGCCTAAATGACCGACAAAAGGAGACATGTTCTGGTTCAATGAATAATACCCGACTGGTAGGTAGGAAGATCAGGAAGCCTGCTGCTACCAGAGGGAGCTTTGGCAAGTGTGTGGGTTTCAGTAGGCAGCAATGGAGCTGGAGGAAAAGCTATTCGTTAAATGAGAAGAATCAACAGTTTTACCCTGAGCAGTGGTTAGTGCATCACCCTGCACACGGAAGGGCCACAAGTTTGATTCCCAGTCAAGGGCATGTACCTGGGTTGTAGGTTTGATCCTAAGCCCCAGTAGGGGTGCATGCAGCAGGCAACCAACTGATGTGTCTCTCTCTCACATCGGTGTTTCTCTCCCCCTACCTCTCTTCCACTCTCTCTAAAAAACAGGTAAATAATCAATGGTAAAAATATCCTCGGGTAAATATTAACAACAACCAAAAAGGAATCAACGGCTTCTCAGAATCATAAGTCCCAAGAGTAGTGAAATGTCTTAATATGCAAAAGTGTTACGCTGAATTTGGAGAGTAAAATAATGCATTCATATGTTCCATGTTTCATAAGCTTTATGTCTCATTTTGAAATATTTCTGCAATTAGTTTCTGAAGTACCTCAGCCTTCAGATAGATCACTTCTTGCATAAATCTGTCTGGAGCTCATAAAAATTCTTATTTTTTTAAATATTTTAATTTGTGACTTTACTCAAAATGATGCAACTTGAACATATTTAAAACTTACCAACATCAGTATAAACAAGTTATGCAAGTGTTCTCAAAAACAAGAAGGGTGACCATATGTAGAAATAGATTTATAAAAGCTAAAATAAAAGAGGCTCTCAAAAGCCAAGAACAATCCCATTAACCCATTGCTTAGAAAAACTCAGCTACCAATGCAAGCGATGGTAAAACTTAGGTATATGTCTCCTTACTTCTCAGTAAGAAACATGGGGAGCACTATATGAACTAGGGGAGTAAAACTTATTTCATAACGATATGATTTAGAATGATCATTCTGAGCTGACGACTATAAGCTCCTGAGATACAAATAAGACACAGGTAAGTTCATAGAGTAAATACAATCAATCATTTTTTTCTTGGGTGTGAAATAAATGTCTGTTTTTGTGACCATGGGCAACCGTAGTAATCTCTTCGTATGTATGACATGGAGAAGATAAGAGCATCTACCTCATAAGGGCCTTGTAATTGTTAAAATAATAATAAAGTGCTTAGATAGTGCTCAGTACCTGGGGAATGAGTGCGCAGACGTGTTAACCATGATGCAGCAAAGGACAGGCATGATGGCCTTCTGTTCTGTTTTACACACATGGGTTTATCCTACATATGTTGACCCTCAACTTGCACTCATTCCCCAGGTACTGAGCACCCCACCGTCCCCCACTGGGGATGTGCCCACAACCAATGTACATGCCTTTGACCGGAATCGAACCTGGGACCTTTTAGTCCGCAGACCGACGCTCTACCACTGAGCCAAACCGGTTTCAGCTCATCAGCACTTTTCAAGCTGTGTTATGTCTCCTTAGCAGGTCACACAAGTAACAAGAAGTCTGGACTCATTTTTTTGCTGTTGTTGTTGTTGTTTTTAAATGAAATAGAAAGAAACAATAGGAATTATCATTCCTTTCCTGGCTTAAGGCAGTTATCCCTACTACATAGTGGTAAGCTCCCACTCATCTTCCAAGTCTGTTAGCACACAGTGGTTACAACGTGGGTTCAGAGCCAGAATGCCTGGGCTTGCATTTCAACTCCACCACTCAGTGCTGTGTAACCTGGGACAAGTCATGAAGTCTCTCTGGGTCTCAGTTTCCTTTTCGATAAAACGGGAATTTATAACTAGCACCTACTTCACAGGTTTGCTGTGTGCATAAAATGAGGTAACATATGCTAATTGCTCAAAACGGCACATATGAAAGTCAACAAATTATGATCTCCTGCTTAAAGCTCTCCTGGAGCCCCGAGGTCAGTGGTTGGCAAACTCATGAGTCAACAGAGCCAAGTATCAACAGCGCAACGATGGACATTTCTTTTGGAGAGCCGAAAACGGACTTCTGCGCATGGGCCACGAAGTTTCAATCGCACTGTACGTGTGCGCCCGCACGTGGTATTTTGTGGAAGAGCCACACTCGGGGCCAAAGAGCCACATGTGGCTCACGAGCCTCCGTTTACTGACCATGGTCCTAGGTGGGCCCAGGCTTTCTTGTTTGTTTGTTCATCCTATAACCTGAGGATATTTTTCCATTACTTTTCAGAGAGAGAGAGAGAGAAAGAGAGAGGGAAACATCAATGTGAGAGAGATATCAATTGGCTGCCTCCCACATGACTGGAAGCAAACTGGCAACCAAGTACATGCCCTTGACCAGAAATCAAACCCAAGACCCTTTCGTGCCAAAAAATCACCATGTCTACCTTGGTGCCAAAAAAATCACCAAGTCGCCGAATCCGGTTTGGCTCAGCGGTAGAGCATCAGTCTGCGAACTCCAAGGTCCCAGGTTCGATTCCGGTCAAGGGCAGGTACCTTGGTTGCAGGCACATCCCCAGTAGGGGGTGTGCAAGAGGCAGCTGATTGATGTTTCTCTCTCATCGATGTTTCTAGCTCTCTATCTCTCTCCCTTCCTCTCTGTAAAAAAAATCAATAAAATATATATTTTTTTTTAAATCGCCACGTCTACCTTGGCCTTTGCTGAGCCCCTCGCAGGCAGTGTCCCCGGAATGAGGCAGCACAGACTGAACCTGGCAGACGGATAGAGGGACCCTCACGATGCCCCCGGGAGAGCCCCAGGGGCGGGACTTACTGCACAGCTTGTTCTGGAACACGGAGATCAGCGACTCCATCTGGCTGAAGTTGGCCACCAGGAAGACGTGGTCCTCGTGCGGCTCGCTGCCGATGGCCTTCAGCGTGTTGAGGTCCACCTGGCCCACGCCGATGGCGAAGATCAGGATGCCCGTGTCCCGCGCCTTCGCGGCCACCTCGGCCACGGAGTCCTGCGGCCGCCCGTCCGTCACGATCATGATGACGCGGGGCACGTGCTCGCGCAGGGGCCGGGCGCCCTCGGCCTCGGAGAAGGCGATGTTCAGGGCGTACTGGATGGCCAGCCCCGTCATGGTGCCCGTGGACAGGTGCCGCATCCGCGCGACGGCGCGCTCCACCTCGGACCGCCTCTTGAAGGTCTTGAGGGAGAACTCGCGCTTCACGGTGCTGCCGTACTGCAGCAGGCCCACGCGGGTGACGTCGGGGCCGATGTCCAGGAACTGCAGGATGTCCACCAGGAACTCCTTGACCTTGGCATAGTCGTGGGCGTTGACGCTGCGGGAGCTGTCGATGATGAACACCAGGTCCGCCCGCTTGTTCTCGCAGGAGCTCTCTGGGGAAAGAGGGGCGTCACACACGTTAGAAGGGTGTGAGGAAGGCCCTGACCGGTCTGGCTCAGCAGATAAGAGCGTCGGTCTGCAGACTGAAAGGTCCTGGGTTCGATTCCGGTCAAGGGCATGAACTTGGTTGCGAGCATATCCCCAGTGGGGGGGGTGCAGGAAGCAGCTGATCGATGTTTCTCTCTCACCAATGTTTCTAACTCTCTATCCCTCTCCCTACCTCTCTGTAAAAAATCAATATATATATATATATATATATATATATATATATACACACACACACACACACACACACACACACACACACACATATATATATATATATATATATATATATATATATATATATTTTTTTTTTTTTTTTTTTTTTTTTTTAAAGAGCCAGAACCGGTTTGGCTCAGTGGATAGAGCGTCGGCCTGCAGACTGAAAGGTCCCAGGTTTGATTCCTGACAAGGGCATATAACCTTGGTTTCGGGCACATTCCCAGTAGGGGGTGTTCAAGAGGCAGCTGATGGATGTTTCTAACTATCTATCCCTCTCTTTCCTCTCTGTAAAAAAAATTAAAAAAAAAATCAATAAAATACATTTTAAAAAATAAATAAATAAATAAAAATAAAGCAAAGTCTCCGATCTTCATCGGTTTCTCTTCCCACCTGGGAAAGTTGTAAGGGCGAATGCGAAAGCTGTAGGTGCTACAACTGGGTGACCATGAGTGTCGGCTACAAACAGATACTATTTCTTTTCACAAGACAAATGAACACTTTCGTTTCTAGAAAGTCATCAATACAGTTTTCAGGTGGCCAAACCCCCGACCGGGGTCAGAATGATTTCATTCTGTACTGTATGCCCCGGAAGCTCCCCCGGAAACTGCAGGGAACGTGGAATAAGCTAGGATAGAGACCGATGGCAACGACAGGGACCACGGTCTACCTGGGGAGACTCAGCTGAGCTTGCATGAACCTGGGTGGCACTGACACCAGCTGTGCGGAGAACAGGGACGTTAGTGGGCTGGGGTCAAGGTCCGGATACGAGCTGGTCCCGTGGATGCACAGTTTGAATGGAGAGAAGGCACCGATGGAGAGGGTGGATGGTAGAGTAAGTGATGGAGGGACTGCCAGGAGGCAGTGAGTCGGAGGGGTTGCCCAAAGGCTGTGATAAAAGGCCTTTACATTCAGACTGAGAAATCTGTACGTGATGCCACCTGGGTGGACATCGTATGGTCAGCATCATACGATGTAACTTCCGGCTTCTGCAGGTGAGCCATGTCAAAAAATCCAGTGAGTGTGGCAGTGGTTTGCAAGGTGAGTGATCAGGCCACTGCGGCAGTAACGTGGTGGAGAGAGGGACTCAGTCAGCGGTGGGAATGGCTAAGGGACCTGCCAAGAAGCATTTCCACAAAGGACACAGTTAAACTGGGAAAAGGCAGATGTTCTGTCTCTTCCTTATCACAACCACACCAGACTCACGCCTCACGCACCCAAGAAGGAGGCTCTCTGAGGCTGAAGTCCGGAGGGGGGAGGGAAGGATGCAGCTGGGGGGGTTAGAGGTCTCCTGCCCCAGAGGGAGGGCGGACGTGGGCACTCCTGCTGGGATTTCTCGCATGTTCTGAGCCACGGCCTCCAACCAGCGGGAGCCCCTCCTCCCTTCCCCAGTCTTTGCCGCGAAAGCCGCATTTGATAGGGATTAGAAAAGGAATCCCAAATGCTTGCCCTACTTCCCAAACACCACAGCTGCAAGGAGAGAAAGCCAACAATGAAACAGTGAGCCCAGTCATTAAAACGAGAACCAAGAAAGGCCCATGAGGTCATCATCCCGTCCAGGCCGGCCTGCCAGGCGGTGACTCTTCTGCACCCACACCTCACCTCACCCACTGCAGCCTCCCAAGTCTGACCATGTTAGGGGCGGACACACTCCCAAACGCCCCGTATCCCGGCAGGAAACCCACTTCCTGCCACACCCGCGTGTAGGATTGGGGGTTGTGTGAATTGAAGGCCCCAAGGGGCCCCAGAAGCTGGGAGGAGATCCATGCAAAACCCGGCCTTGGTGGAATGTGCTCAGATCCTTTTTCCAGAGGGCTTTTATCACCACGATCTCATTGGATGTGCAGAGCAAGCTGTTGAGAAAAGAGCCAGGAGGAGCACCACATCCATCGGGCAGAGGAGGAAATGGAGGTGCTGAGAGTTGGAAAACCTCTTGTAACTAAGAAAAAGAAAAGCCACATGGATGCAGCATGGAGACCCACCTTCCTGGGTGGTTGTGAGAATTTAAGAAAACAGCCCAGCCCAGCCCTGAGCCCCCAGGAGCGGCGCCCGCCCTGAGAGACACCGGGACGGGGTGCCTTTGTCTCAGGCGCACGAAGGCGCCGTGGTCTAGCGCGTGGCCCTGGGCTGGAGCCGTGGAAGCAGACCCCCGGGTCCCCAGAAAGAAGGCCAGGTCCGGAGCGAGGCTGAGTCCTTTCCAGGAATCCCAAATGACCTGCCCCCGCTCCCCGGTATCTCCCACCTTTGATGTGTGAACTTACGTGAGGGACAATGTGGCCCAATGCTCTCCACCTGCTGAGGACTGGACCAGGCCCAGGCCCTGCCACGGAGGGGGACACTCACAGAAGGGCCCGGGAAGGGAGAGAGGGAGGCAGACAGCGACTCTTCCTCTGAGGACGTGCTGCAGGCGGACGGAGACCGTACTGGCTCTCCGGGGCCAGTTCTTTCCTTCCCTGGATTCACAGGACTGAGAGGAATGGCCCAGACTTGTGTGCCTCCTGCCAAGAGCTTCTCCTCTGCTAAGCGTCTACTTGTATTTTTTAATTTAATAAAAAGGATGAAACCAGATGCTTGCCTCCCAAGATCAGGCTGTGAGCTGTTCCCATTCTCATTCCCCTGACAAGTGCTCACTGAGAGCTCAGAGGAGCAGGGCCAGGGGAGGCTGAGGGCTGGGACAGGAGAGACGGAGCCGAGGGCCTGGGGGGAGCAGGAGAGATGTGGCCCAGACAATACGCAAACGCCCAGGTGGAGTGGGGAAGGGAGATGGATTTCAGAAAATGGAGTATTTCATATTCATCCCCAGCAACGTTCCCATAAGCAGATGGTTTGTGGGCGCTTACAAAAAAAAAAAAAAAAAAAAAAAAATCTGTAGAGAATTGAATGATACTAGTGAAAAAATGTAACCATTTCTAGAACAGGGTAAGGGTATATTATATGGACTAGGTCAGTGGTCGGCAAACTCATGAGTCAACAGAGCCCAATATCAACAGTATGACAATTGAAATTTCTTTTGAGAGCCAAATTTTAAAAAATTAAACCCTATAGGCAGGTACATTGTTATTAACTTAATTAGGGTACTCCTAAGCTGGCCTTTGCTAAAAACTCAAGGGGCCAAAGAGCCGAATGTGGCTCGCGAGCCGCGGTTTGCCAACCACTGGACTAGGGAACCAGAGTATGATTTCCGGGCAGCACTGAGGGGTGACTGGAGGGTGGTGATCATGGAATTGAAATGAGATCAATGACATGGCGTGTGTTTTGGCGCAGCTGCAGGCATAGGAGGATAACCGGCAAACGCTGGTTTAACCAGGGCTGTCATTTAGCCAAGCGAGAGTGATGATGAATCAGGAGAGCGGCCAAGGCCATCGACAGGAAGACTACAAGGACTTCCTGTGGAGTTAGACTGGGGAGCAGGGAGTAGAGGAAACAAGGGGGTGAAGGCCAGAGAAGCAGCAGCAGGACCAATGGACTGAGAGTCCAGGTGAGGCCACAGGGCTATTGACGGTGGAATACTAGGAGGTATGAGAAGGGGGGAGCTGGGGAGATAGGAGGTTTGAACTGAGACTATGGCGGGACTGCAATCATCATAATCACAGGATCAAGAGGATGATAAGAGGGGCAATAGCTGAGAGATGGTGGAGGATAGGGATACCGGGGGGAAAGAACGTCAAAGCTATTGAGGGGTCATTCGTATGGATATTGAAATCACCAAGAATTATGGCCAGAGAAACGTTGGAGGAAGTGGCAGTGAGCCAGGAGCTAAAACTGTTCTAGGAATAATCACTGGTTGTTATTTCCCGAAGAAGAAACAGGAACGCTGAGAAGCAGATGAAAATGTCATAAAGGGACAGAGAGAAAAAAAACTAGTTCATCAAAAGTTTCAAAGGGACATGGGGGAGAAAAATTAAGGCTGCTTTATAATGAGAGGGAAGGAGAGGAAAAGAGGGAGAGTCTGGCTGGAATGGCTCGGTGGCTGAGCATGGATCTATGAATCAGGAGGTCACAGTTCGATTCCCAGTCAAGGCACATGCCCAGGTTACAGGCTCCATCTCCAGAGGGTGGCATGCAGGAGGCAGCCGATCACTGATTCTCTCTCATCACGGATGTTTCTCTCCGTCTCCTTTCCTCTCCGAAGTCAATAAAAACAAATTTTAAAAAAGGAAAGAAAGAGGGAGAGAGAGAGCCAACAGGAGGGTAAGAAGGGGGAAACCATATACCATGTATGTTTTCATTCCTAGATGGGATGGATCAGGTGAGTTGGGAATTCTCTATTTGGATGTCAGCAATGCAACTGATTGATTCTAGGGGAAGAGATGAAAATTCCACATTCACCAAAAGCCAGACGTTCGACAAAAATATTTAGTGAGTACTATTGTGTGCCGGGCTCTGGGGAGACAATGAAGGGAAGGCTCCCAGTTGTGGAAGGCAGGCATTCGGACAGGTACCAGCAGGATACAGGGAAATAGGCAGACAAAAAAGACGAGTGCTGGGGAGCCCGTGGAGGATGCTGCCTTCCTCTCTGCGTGGCTGCCTGGCCGCGGGCAGGCTCAGCAATGCCCTTCGCTTCTTTTCTCCGTCAGACATCACTCTCCCGCTAGGCCGGCACTCAATCTACTGGAGGTGGCACAGGAAACTGAATCATTTTACCAGCCTGGTTCTGGTGCCTGGTGTTCTACCACAAAGACTGAGGTTAGTTCTCCATTTTATCTACTTCTGAGAAACAAACAAACAAACA